GATTTGTTCTAATGGTGTTTGTAAATAGGATCACAAGTCCGCATCTTGTACAGCAATTAACCACTAAGAAGAATATATGCAGTGTATTATTTGTTGAAAAATTAAAAAAAAATTATGCTTATGTATCACCAAAAAGGCCTGCCTAATTTTCTGTTTGTTTTTCTTTGGGGGGTTATTTTTTCAGAAGCAGGACAGTCCTACAGTTGAGGAAATGGACTTCCTGGACGCTTTGAAGAGGGTCCAGCCTTCAACATTTCGAAGTGCCGTAGGGCTGGTGGACCTCAGGCCTGTGGGCTGGGAGGAGATCGGAGGCCTCGAGGATGTAAAGCTGAAGCTAAAGCAGGTGCGTAACCCACTCGGTCGGTGGAGTGCTGTGGCATGCTCCGCACTTTTATGGTGAGAGTGGGTGCGCGGTGACACCCCAGACCCGCATGTCGGAACTTGCCTTCGTGATCTCCCACCTCAACCCTCGTCCTGTGTGTTTCTTGCTGTAGAGTCAACCGAGAATAGGGATCAGCAGATTTTCCTGCAAGGAGCAGTGGTCAGGGTTGTGAGCTTCTGTTCTGCTGTTGTGGTCAGGGGCAGCTGTGGACATGGGATGGGGGCCACTCGGCTGCTGTGGCCGCTGGCTCTGCATCTGTCCCGGTGACCACGCTGGAGGATGTGGTCAGGAGGATCACGTCTGGCCAGGCATACAGGCTCTTTTCCTCGTCACCCGTCCCGACAGTGCCATGTAATGGCTGTGGACAGGGCGTGCACTGCGAGTAACCTGGGACAATGGCACGTGCATGGGGACACGCACAGTTAGAGCCATGCTGTGCCTTTCCTTCACCCTGTGGCAAGGCATTTACTCAGGGCCTCAGGCTGCTGTGTAGGGCAGTGCCACACGGCCAGCCAGTTCCAGTTTGTCTAAGATGTTTACGCATCCTTGGATTTTGCTGTCCTGTCCCTTGAACATACCAAAGGACAAGTTCGCAGCCTGGCCTGGGCCCGACCCTGCTTTAAGGAGCCAGAATTTCCAGCTCCGGGGAGCCCTGGCCTATAACTATGGTTTATATTTGTTTGCCTTAACAAGGAGCTGCATATGCAGTAAATCCAGAGTCCTTGGCTCCAGGAGCAGGGCTTGTCACAGACCCCGATTGCTTCTGCGTTGTCTGTAATCTACACGGCTGCTTGAGGGACAGAGCTCCCTTGCCTGGGAGCACCTTCCTTTGCCTGCACCATCTGCAGCGCCCACATAGGTGCCTTCAGTCTCAGGACTCCTGAGCGGCTGCGGGCTGGCCCCAGGCTCCCATGCTCAGTGTTGGGAGGCACACAGCCGCCTCACACCAGTCACCCTGTGCCTGACCTGGGCTTCCTCCTATGTGTGCCTGCTCAGTGCCCTGGATACACCCAGCCTGAGGGGGCTTGTGCCAGGATCCCTGCAGACTTCTCTCCCGAGATGTCCTTTGTCCTGTGTCCTGTGTCCTGTGTAGGGTTTCCTCTGGTGCTCTTTTCAGCCTGGGTTGCTGGCTTAGGAAGCTGTCCTTAGCTAGAGCACACGTGGCCTGGGCTTTCCCTTTTCTCGCAGAGGTTGTAGCATCGGTAGTTAAGAGCAGGTGTGATGAGGTTAAGTGAAATTGCCTGGGTGCCCCGGTGCTGCTGCAGCATGAGGAAGCGGGCGGGCGGGCGGGCGAACTTTCTGTGCTTGAGTTCCTCCAGCCGTGAGACTACGGCGGCAAAGCAGCTGCTTCGCACATAGTCGGACTCATTCACAATTCACCTACTGTTTTTTGAGTACCTGCTGTGGGTGGGTGCCGTCCTAGATGCTGAGGATTCAGAGGGAACTTTGCTTCCATTCTAGCAAGAGCAGGACAACAAACTGAACCTGGGAGAATGAGCAAAACCAGTAAGCACTCCAGAAGTAAAAGGTGGGCCGGGTGAGGTGCTGCACACCTGTGATCCTAGCACTTGGAGCTGAGGCAGGAGGATCGCTGCAAGTTTGAGCCAGCTTGGGCTACATAGTGAGTTCAAGGTCACCCTGACCTGCATAGTGAGACCCTGTCTCAAAAGAAAAAAGTGAAAATAAAGGACGAGTGGTAGTGCAGAGTGGCACAAGGAGGAGGTTAGTGGGCAGGGAAAGGCTACAGGGCGGAGACCCGGGCCCACTCAGCAGAGAGCAGTGTTGAGGAAGGGCCCTTCAGGGCAGATGGGCTGGGAGGGCACCCACTGGTGGGTGCAAGGTCCTGGGCATGGGCTCTGCTGGACAGCAGAAGTGCCGTGGCCTGAGGAAGCCTAGCCAGGGTGCAGCTGAGGACGAGTGAGGGGCGGCAGGGCTCTGAGAGACCCTGTCTCCATCTCTGCTCCACACAGAGCGTCGAGTGGCCCCTCAAGTTCCCTCAGGCCTTTGCCCGGATGGGGCTGGCACCGCCCCGAGGCATCCTGCTCTGCGGGCCGCCCGGCTGCGCTAAAACCACCCTGGTGCGGGCCCTGGCCACCAGCTGCTGCTGCGCCTTCCTCTCGCTGAGCGGAGCGGAGCTCTTCTCGCCTTTTGTCGGCGACTCAGAAAAAGTCATGGCTCAGGTTTGTTCCTTTCCTGTGTGTTTATGCTTACTTTCGACTCTGCGTCTTGCCTCAAAGATAAGCCTTATTTTGAGGAAGATGACCAGCTGGCCGTGGTGTGCACGCTGTGATGCCGGCACTCGGGAGGCTGAGGCAGGAGGCGTGCTGCGAGTTCTCGGCCAGCCTGCACTTAAATTTGACATTATTGCTTTTGAAATTTCTTACTAGCTATCCTTTGAGAATATCTAACTTCTACATAATACTTGGTTATTTCTTGTTTTATTTCTTCATTCCCCATTCTTGAGCATTTAGACTCTTCTCCTTTGTATTTTGAAAATTATAAACTGTAACGCAGAGGACACACCTTTACGTAACTAGTGAGAACACTGGCTTTCTGACGTTTTCCCTTAACAAAAGGTATTTCGACAAGCAAGAGCCAACACGCCAGCAATCGTGTTCTTGGATGAAATCGACTCCATCTTGGGCTCTCGCTCGGGCGGCAGCGCGGAATGCGGTGTGCAGGAGCGGGTGCTCTCCGTCCTCCTGACCGAGCTGGATGGGGTTGGACTGAAGACGACCGAGAGAAGAGGAAGTAAATCAGAGCCACAGGGTAAATACCGGAGCTGGAAAAGCGCAGTGGTGTCTGTGTAGCCCGGGGACTCCAGAGCTGGGCCGGACGCAGCCGGGGCCAGACGCTCCCGACCCCATCTGTGTTGGTTTCCTGTGCTGAGCGCGCCTCCTACAGGGATTTCTGTCAGTTGGTAAGAACGACTTAGCCAGGAAAGTTGAAATAATTTTATAATAAATTATCTCAAATGTGTATAAACATGAATTTTATTTATCCTCAGCCTGGGAAATTGACATTAATGGAGTAAGGGGTTGATTCTAATTTATGCGTTATGAACAGCTATCTTTCCATCCAATATTGGTATAAAACAGTATGACTATTTCAGTGTCACAGTGATTGAGTCACTCTGCGGAACGGGCCCCCGAGCAGTGCTGACTGACGTGACGCTCGGTGACCCCTGCCTCTGGAGTCTGCTCCAGAGAATTTGGTGTGCTTTCCTCATCTCTGGCGGTGGTTTTTCTCCTCTCCCCCACCCCTTGTTCTTACCTGTTTCTCATTGTAAAAATTGTCCCATCAGAGGAGCGTGTTAGCTCATTAGGAACGTTTTGCCGGGTATTGAAAGGGAAGGAGAAGCTGTGTAGTCTGAGCTCCTCACAGTGCAGGAATCCCGTAAGCAGCATCTGCCAGGCGATTCCTGCCCGTTAGGAGGTGTGTGAAGCCCAATTCACTATGTGGAGAGAATCTCATCCCTAAAAGACCACTGTGATTCTTCAATTCAGAAAATTGTTTCATTGCTTCATGGGCATAAGGCTTTGCCCTCCTTACTTTTATGTGGTTATTTGTGTAGCTGTAGGATTTGTATAGCTAAAGCTTAGATTCATCATTACTGCTTCCTCTGGAAAGAAAAGTCAGAGAAGGACACAGCTCAGGACAAGCCGCACTGTGCACACAGCTGGTGGCGGTGGCCTGTGTCTGTGGTGACCTGGGTCACACACATGCTCAGCAGGAGGGGTGTGTGAGCAAGCATCTCAGCTGGGAAAAAGCTGCCCGGCCGCAACACTCAGACCTGACTGACGTGTACCTTGGAGCAGTTTCTGTGACCAGCAGTCACTGGCCTGACCTATTGTTTTCTTTCAGAATTTGAAGATGCTTTCAATCGAAATGTCATGATTGTTGCAGCCACAAACAGGCCTGACGTATTAGATGACGCCTTGCTGCGTCCCGGGAGATTGGACAGGGTCCTCTACATCCCCCCTCCGGATCAGCAGGTAGTGAACCCACACCCAGCATTAACATCCCTGCTCTGGTGCCTTGTGGCCTTCACAGCGCCTTGCCTCAGTTGGCCTTTGCCCGCCGTGAGGCTCTGCTTTGGGAGAAGTCTGAGCCTCGTGGGAGGGAGCTCAGTGGGCCTGGGCGGTGGCCTGGGCAGCACCCTCAGCTCACAGCAGAGAGAGCTGAGGCCTGTGAGGAGCGCGGCCGTGGTCGGGCAGCGAGCCCACTGTGCCCTCCCAACCCTTCTCCCCCCCACGGGGACCACCTCAGGGAGGTTTCAGGGTTTCAGGGCTTAAAACACTTAAATGTCTGGGCTGGCCAGATAGCTCAGCAGACTTAGGCAGACTTAGGACTGCGGTTCAGTCTCCTGCAGTGTGTGCGCTGAGACGTGACTGAGACGGTGTGGTGGCATGTGCCTATAATCCCAGCGTTTGGGAAGCTGAATAATAGGAGGATCACTACGAGTCTGATCTGTGCAGTGAGACCCTGTAGAGCCTGCACTAAATACATAAAAGCAAAAAAAAATTTTTTTTTACATGCCTGTGATCCTTCCCAGTTATATCTGATAATCTGTGCACTGCTTCTTCAGCTGTTCTAGTAGCACTTTTTTTTCTTTTTGGTGGCACTGGGGATTGAACTCAGGCCCTTGCGCTTGCCAGGGAAGCGCTTATTCTACTGAGCCATCTCCCCAGCCCCTCTAGTAGCACTTTTTGCACCCAAATAGAGATTCATCTTTCTCTTAAAGAGCTCTGCTGGCTGGGTGTGGTGGTGCACACCTGTAACCCCAGCACGTGGGAGGCTGAGGCAGGCAGGTAACCGTGAGTGCTAGGACAGCCTAGACTACGCAGCAATACCCTGCCTCAAAAGAAAAAAAAAAAGACTGTGGAGATTTTAAAGATTAATTTTAAAAATGTTATTTTTTTCATCATGCCATTATTGTGCCATTGCCACGTGGGCCACTGATGGCTTAATCTTTCTTACCTTTCAGAACCAAGAAATGATTTTACTTTTTACTGTTTGAGTCCCCCATGTGTGGACTTGTATTGACAAATGTACGTTGTTTTATACTGTGATAGAAAACTCAAAATGTTTTAGCGCATTGTTGTGTCAGATGTAAATGTCTTAAAATTATAATTACATTGTTTTTCCATCTGTTCCAGGGCAGACTTTGTATTTTAAAAGCCTGTACGAAGAATATGCCAATAGGGGCTGATGTTTCCTTAGAAAATCTGGCTGCAGACACACATTTCTTCTCTGGAGCTGATCTTAGAAATCTCTGCAGAGAAGTAAGTTCCTGAGTAGTGGAGGGTCTGTGGCTCAGAGCATGTCTTCATGTGGTCAGGTGTCCTTACTGTGTGCCGGCCACACTCAGCAGGAGACCCAGCTGTGACCCTCAGGGCACATGGGCTGCCCGGCACAGCCTGCTCTCCTGGATACCGAGGTCCCAAGAGGCTGAGACCCTGTCACAAATTTAGAAAAGGAGGGAGTTGAAGTTGAGGCTGCCATTTGCACAGGGGAGTGACTGAGCCAGCCAGGGCGGCCAAGAGGGCTTTGGAGGGGAGATGTGAGCTGGAAGGGGAGGAGCGGCTGCTTGAGTGGGAGACTCTGCAGGGCTGGGCAGGGAGACAGGTCTGGTCTTTTGGTGGAGGAGTGCAGGAGATCAGCCCAGAGAAGCGCACAGAGGCCAGCGCAGAGAGGTCCTCGTGAGCCCTGGAAGGCACCCGGGTTTCATTGGGAAGGGAGCAGAAGCTATCATAGGTTGTTGGGCTTCTGTAGGCTTTCACTAAGCACTACATGCAGAAAAGCCCCATCACAGGTCGCAGTTACTGAATTAACGTGATGTGATCACAGCTCTGTCATCACCACTTGGAGCTGAGAGGGGGCTGGTCTCAGCTCTGGTCCTCCCCTGCGCCCTCCGCGCCAGCCCCGTCCCCAGCCGGGAGCCTCTCCAGCCAGAGCTGCTGAGCCCATGCGGGCAGCCCGCTCCACCGTGCAGGAGTCGGCCTGTGCCCTGCACGTGCGTGGCTGTGGCTTTGGTGTTCTACCCCGTGGCCTACATTTGTTACCTGTCTTGACTACTGAACATTTGGGTTTCTGCTTTGCTGTCTGGGAGCAGCCTCACACACGTCTGCTGTGTGTGTGCAGCGTTGCGTGTTTCTTGTTTGCGCAGCTCCATGCAGAACTGCCGGATCAGAATGTGTGGGTCTTTTGGGTCCTTTGTGATCAGTACTGTCTAAAACCTTCCTATTCCAAGCTCAGAAAGATTTTTCTCCTTTTAAAAAAATATATGTGGCCTCATAATGTGAACGGGCTGATCAAAACCAGCAGTGTGTGTTTACCTAAAGTTTTGTTATGCCGAACTCCACACTGCCGGGAACCGCCCCAGAGCACGTCCACCCTGTCATGTCGAGCACACGCAGCCGTCCTCCGCCATCTCCGTCCTCTCCCTCTTTCCTGAGTGTCTTTACAGCTTGTGATAAAATGCACAGTGCTGCTTCCAAGTGCCATCCAAGGGAAAGACACCTCATGAAAAGAAGACGCTGGCCGGGCATGGATGCACCCCTGTGATCTCAGCACACGGGAGGCTGAGGCAGGAGGATCACAAGCTCGAGGCCAGCCTGAACTACACATTGAAACCCTGCCTCAAAAAAGAAAAAACCTATGACCTTGTCCCCCATCCGTGGGGGCTGGCACCAAGCAACAACTTGCTCTTCTTCAGAGTCTAAATTACTGTGAAAGGGAAGCATTCAAAGTTGACTCAGGCGTCAGGTAGTCACAAGAGCACAAATAAAGACACAAAAGTAGGCGTTAGATCTGCTTCAGAAAGGGACAGAAGATGATAGCGTAAGTGTACCAACAGAGGCGGAGTGCCTTGGAGGTCCCTGGCCTCGTGTGCGTCACTGTAGTAAACACACACCGTGCTTGCGGGCACGGCCTGCCTGTGCACATTGTCCTGGTTGCTTTTCCTGTGGGAGGCTAGAGTTTTCATGTAGGAGAAATTCTGGTCTAAGTAGGTTTTTAGTCACTTATGTAACTTTCTAGTCGTGTGTTTGGAATCCCATGAAGGGACACTGCGCCTTTGCATTCAGATCTCAGTGTCGCCGCTGATGCTCATTTGAAGCTCAGCAGAGTGACGTGTGGTGTTTGTCTCTCCAGGCAGCCCTGCTGGCTCTGCAGGAAGACGGGCCGGACGCCGCCACCGTGACTCGGGACCACTTCCTGCAGTCGCTCAGGACTGCGAGGCCATGCTTGCGACACACAGACTTGGCTGTCTATGAAAAGCTATTTAAGAAAGACAGCTTTGCTCCCCTGGAAGACGCCTGAGGATACAGGCGATTCTCAGTCATTCGTGCTGATTGAACAGTGAACTTGCCTGTAAATGAAAACTTTACACCTTCAGAGCTTGTTTATATTTTCATTAATTTAAAAAATAAAAGTAAAGCCTGTGCCTGGTGAGCTACGGCTCATCTCGTTTGTAAAAGGCATTAAATGCTGTCAGGCTGGAAAAAGAGGCGCCATCGCTGTGTAGGGGACTGGTTTGGGTTGGCCGCTTTGTTGTAACCTTGGGATACCTTCACAGCTACGGAAAAGGTGCAGGAATAGCACGAAAACCTCTTACTATTCCAGCTCGGAGCCACCAGCTGTTACAGTTGTGTCATATTTGCTTCTCTGCACTACAATCAGTAATTTTGTAGTGCAGTCTGACTAGAAATCAGTAATGCGTCTGGTGACAGCCGGGTGGGTGCTGTGTCGCGGCAGGCCTGAGCCACAGCAGTTCTGTGCTCTGGGGCATCCAGGGCACTCAGGCCTGCCTGCGGCATCTCTGCCCCCCAGCCGCAGCCGCCACGTGAGACGGCACAGTCAGTTTCTCCGCAAGGAACGCTGGTGACGAGGAGCTTCAGTGTGCCGCCCCGCAGGTCTCACTGCTGTCCTGAGCATGGCAGGCTCTCAGGCTTCCCATACCAGGCTCGGCCTGGGGGCCCACGGTGCTTTGAGCTGCCTTTGGCTTCTCAGCCCGAGGCCCCGCCTCAGCGTGGGCCCTGGAGGCAGAGACCAGTAGCTTCATAGAACAGCGCTCCCGGGGGTGCATGGGCCACGCCAGGGTGTCGTCCTGGGGACACGATGGCATTGACAGCCAGCTGGGGGCGGCGGCAGGCCTCAGTGCCAGCACTTGGGTCAATAGGCCTGAGGGGCTTCAAAGGACTGCGGAGAGCTCGGTGTGCAATGTTAGGGAAAACAGCGTGGGCACGGAGCTGTTGGGAGTTCCCATGTGTAAGTGCAGACAGCTGGGGGGAGACTTGCTTGGTTCATAGGCATAAAACCCAATTTAAGATTATTCTAACGGACTTTGAGTCGTAGGAAAATCCTTAAGAATCTTACTAGGATTCTAACCTTGTTTCCCGCCCGTTGCTTGCTTGTTTGAGACAGGGCCTTGCTCTGTACTTCAGTCTGGCCTTGAGCTCTCGGGAGGCCAGGCGGCCCGGGGCTAGCAGTGCTCTCGCCTGGCCTCCCAGTGCTGGGATCGTTGGCGCTAGCCCCGGTTGCAGTGCTTTGTTTAAATGCTATGTTTAAGAGCACTCCCAGGGCCGGCTAGATAGCTCGGCGGGTTAAAGCGCCTGCACACAGGTGCAGGGACCAGGGGTTTGATCCCCAGGCCTGCCGTGCCAGCCCTGCCCCTGGGGCATGTCGGGATGGCAGTTGAGACCAGGCGTGGTGGCATGGGCCTGTAGTCCCAGCTCTTAGGAGACTGTAAACAGGAGGATCACTAGGAGTCCGATCTAGTAGTGAGATCCTGAACACCCTGTAGGCCCTTCCCTAAAATACAGGGGGAAAAATGCACTCCAAATATACTTTAAAAAAACCAGACACCCACATACCTATTACCTTATGCAGAATTTGCCTAGATTTTAGTTGAACTGTTATTTTCAAGTAAATGTCAGGCAGGCTTTTTCCTGGCGTTTTTCCATACACAGTCCAGGAGGAGGAGAGGAACATGGTGGGGTGGAGTCCTAAGGCCCTCACGCCCAGGGACCTAATGCAGAGGCCCCCAGCTCGGGTGGTCTGACCGAAAATTTTTCAGCTTGAGGATGGTGCTGAAGCCAGCCTCCATGTCTTCCAGCTGGCGGAGTGGGCCCGATAACTGGCTAAGCAGCTGCTCCCTGTCACCACCGCAGGTGTAGATGCGGCCTCGCCCCAGCTGGGCGCGTCAGCTGCAGCTGCGGCCTCGGGTGTCTGGCCGTGCCTGCTTTGCCTGTCAGGAGTGTGTGTTCCCTTAATATTGCTTGGTGTCTGCGTGCAGGTCACGTCACCCTTTCCCCCAAATGTCATTTGTAGCTGGTTTATTTGGAGGGTCAAGTAAGTGCCCCACCAACCACCTCTTTGCTCAGGTACACCCACTTGTTTTGTTTGTTTTGAGACGGGGTCTTGTTATGTAGCTCAGGCTGGCCTTGCTTATTGTTATTTTATTTTTTGTTATTTATTTTTTGGGGGGCAGAACCGGGGATTGAACTCAGGTACTTGTACTTGTCAGGGAAGTGCTTATTCCACTGAGCCATCTCCCTGGCCCCAAATTTGATTTTTTTTTTTTTTTCGGCACTGGGGATTGAACTCAGGACCTTGCCAGGCAAGTGCTTATCCTACTGAGCTATCTCCCCAACCTGGTATTTTATTTTTTAAGATACTGGGAATTGAACTCAGAACCACTTGCTTGCCAGGCAGGTGCTATGCTGCTGAGCTACACCCCCCCCCACTTGGACTTAATTCCTTTTCTTGCCACCAAGTCATGTCCTGGTGTAGAGTTCTTTATCAGCACAAATTGTACAGCACCTTGAGAAGGGACTTAGGTCTTTTTAAAAATTCTGCTTCATAGCGCAGCGATCTATGCACACCCATGTTTACAGCAGCGCAGTTTGCGATAGCTAAATCCTGGAAACGGCCCACATGCCAGTCAACCAATGAATGAATAAAGATGTGGTTCTTTTATGTGGTAAAGTACTATGTAGCCATGAAGAAGGATGTGCTTGAGACATTTACAGGTAAATGATGGGCCTTGAGAACATACTCCTAAGTGAAATAAAGCAGACACACATGAAAATACTGTATCATTTCTCTAATGAGAAGTTCAAATTGTAAGTAAGGATCAAAATGTATTAATATGTATTGTGAAACAGGAAGAAAATGTTCAAATGGGAAGGGAAGCTGGGGAGGGGGACGAGAAAAAATGAAAACAACTTTTTTTAATAACGAAGGGGTTGAAGGGCGGTGAGACTGAATAAAAGGATCAAGGTGTGCAGGAACCAACTCCCTGTGATGGACATGTTTATTATGTGTGCTTCAAATGTACCAATAAATTTAATTCTTAAAAAAAAAAAAAAAGTCCATTGAAGCTGGGCATGGTGGTGCCGCCTGTAATCTCAGCACTGGGAGGCTGAGGCAGGAGGGTCGATGCACATTCCAGACCAGGCTGGGCTACAAAGTGAACTCAAGGCCAGCCTGGACTGTACAGAAAGACCCTGTCTCAAAAAGACAAAAAATAAAAGATGTAACAAATCCGTTGTGCCCCATCCCTGAAACGCCTTGACCGCCACAAAGTGGCTCCACCTTCTGCGGAGAAGTGAAGCGACCAGCGCCATGCTGAGCCAGCAGACAAGGGCTCCGTGGGCTAAGTCACGACTTCCTCCTGTAAGGTCTTTCCCTTCCTGCCTTTCCTGGGTCCCCTTTGCTCTCGCCCTTTATTCCTTCCTTCAATCCTTCTTCCTTCCTAAAGCAACTTAACTGTTGACAAGACTTTGAAAGCAAAGATCCTTCTGACAGAAGCAGGCTTAAAAATCTGGCATTGGTGTGGGATTGGTGGTTTCGGCCGGGGTCTGCGCCTGCAGCGAGGCCGAGGTTATGGTCCAGCTGCGTCTGGCCACTTCCCCGAAACGGAATCCTTCCCAAGGCGGACCGTGAGGCAGGCTGCTGGTTTAGGGGAAAGAGGACAAAGCCAGCCTTGGATTTGTCTCTGGAAACAGGTTCTGGCTGTGTAGCCCAGGTGGCCTCAAGCTCTCAGATGCGCCTGCCTCAGCCTCCTGGAGCTGGATCCCGGGCGTGTGCCTCCGCACCCAGGTTGGGGCCCTGCTTGTTTTGTTGTTGTTGTTTTTTGTTTGTTTGGTTTTGCTTTCTCTCCATTAAAAAAATCAGAGTTGTTCAGGCGTGGTGGAGCACACCTATAATCCCAGCCCTTGGGAGGGGGATCATTGCGAGTTTGAGACCAGCCTGGACTACATAGCGAGATCCTGTCTCGAAAAAGACTGAACAAAACAAAAAACAAGCCTCCGGGGGAATCATCCTGCCTGGAGCTTTAGGATTTCATTACTTCCCTGTGCGCGCATCTAGAGCCTTTATCTTTATTTATTTTTTATTTTTTAAATTTTATTTTGTTTTATTGAGAAACAAATATCAGTGAGGCAGTTTCAAAGCTGATTAATAAGACATTTTCAATAATTAATACATTGTACATTGTTATCTTCTTAGTGGTTATCCATAGTACAAGAAGCAGACAGGACAAAAAAAATTTTTTTTAGGGGGGGGGGGCTCAGAGAGATGGCTCAGTGGAATAAGTGCTTCCCTGGCAAGCGCAAGGGCCTGAGTTCAATCCCTGGTTCCGAAAAAGCAGACAGGATAGCCTGTCCAAACACTATTACTACAAATCTCATTAAATTAAGGGAAAGTAGCAGTACATCTATCCCAATATAGTGGCATAACTCTCAGCCACCCACCCGCGCCTGGAGCCGCCCTGGGGACCCCTCCACTCCTCCTCCAGACAGGACACTAGACGCGGCTTCTCGGTGTCCAGAGCTCCGCGGCCTGCCGAGCGAGCGCGGGCGTCCTGCAGGGGGCGCGCGAGAGCCAGGGAGGCGGCGCCCGCCCGCGTGACCCCCGCTCCCGAGCCGCCAGCGGTTGCGGCCGGTATAAAAGGCGCGAGGCGCCGCTGCGATCCATACCCGCATCCGCGCCCGCGACGCGCAGTGGTCCTCCAAGAGAGCGCCCCAGCCCAGCACAGCCCGGCCCCCAGGTCAGCAGCCCAGCAGCCCAGCAGCCCAGCCCAGCCCAGCCCAGCCTAGCTCGGCCCCCAGGTCAGCACCCCAGCAGCCCAGCCCAGCTCAGCCCCCTGGTCAGCACCCCAGCACCCCAGCCCAGCCCAGCCCGGCCCCCAGGTGGGCTCCCCAGCACAGCCCAGCCCGGCCCCCAGGTGGGC